AAACATTTATCTGTAGGCACGCCAAATAAATCTGTGTTTTGTTAATCTTTCCACCTATTGTTTTGAAATATTTATTAATATTTCAATGTACAGTATGTCAGCATTCCAATGAAAATAAATATTTTTTTTAATTTCTGGAAGTGCTTTTGTGTGTGTTATGCCATTTGCAGATGCACCAAAACAACCCTCTGATTTGCACTGCTTTCCGCTGGTCCTCATTTTGGGCTATCAATACTAATTTGGCCATATGCACAGAAAACCTCTGCCAGGCAGTATCCCCTTCCTCTGTTCTCATCAGTAATATTTCCTTTGGTGGGAATCATGACACAGGCATGCCAGTATACTTTAACCCTCTTTAGACTTGGCATTGTGACATGGCATGAAATAAAGAACAGTTTTGTATTTGCTGACCAAATTCAGTCAGTCAGTTCATCAAATTATATATTTGAGGAATAAAAAAATCTCCCTGTTTCTACTGTACGGTCGCACGTCTTTTGTCGAGCCAACATGTTCGAAAACACGCCGAGAATCGTAGCACGTCTAGCCTGCTCGCCCAATAGCTGCGGAACGGGCCGGTGTGCGCACGCGCACACTGCCCGTTCTGCATTGCCGTCATCGGAAGCCCGCCCCTCAGCGGGGCGGGCTTTCGATGATCGCAAGTACGATCTGCCCGTCCAAGGTGGGCAGATCGTACGGGCTTTCAAGAAGCATACGACCATCGCAAGACCAAAGTCTTGCGATGGTCGTAAGGTGTATGGGCACCTTTACACTATATTGCCAAAAGTATTGGGACACCCCTCCAAATCATTGTATTCAGGTGTTCCGTGAAATTTCCTTCTAAATATTCCACGGTCAATTGTTAGGCCTTGTTCACACCAGATGTGCAGTGCGTTCCGGCCCGATTCTGGCCAGAATGCACTGCGCATTGTGGCCGGCTCACTTTTTTTGTGGGGAAGGAGGGGGTGTGGCGGGGCATTGATGGGAATAGCACGGTAGCCACGCCCTCCGGCTGCAATACGATCGGCCGCACGGGATCGCAAGGCATATTATGACTCCGGTGCAATCAAAATGCTGCTAGCACTATTTTGACTGGACCGCAGGCATAATGTGCCTTGCGATCCCGTGCGGCCGATCACATTGCGGCCGGAGGGTGTGGCTACGGTGCCATTCACTTCAATGGCCCGCCACGCCCCTCCTGCCGCACAAAGTGAGCCGGTCGCGATGCAGTGCCTTCTGACCAGGATCGGCCCGGAACGCACCATCTGGTGTGAACAAGGCCTTAGTGGTATTGTAACAAACTGGAAGCAACTGGGAACAACAGAAACTCGGCCACAAAGTGGTAGGCCACGTAAAATGACGAGCGGGGTGTGTGTATGTGTATTAGGGATGCACCGATATATCGGCCACTGAAAATTGCACTTTTGGCTAAATGCCGAAAGTGCCATTTTCCTGCTGATACATCGGCGCATCCCAGGTTTCTTTCCTCCCTGCACACTGATGTGTTTTCTTTTTTAGTGAAAGGGGGTAAAGGTACACTTTAAGATCTGCCTTTGTCTAGATATTTGCTTAAATTACTTGGGTCAGCTTTTATTCTTATTAGGGCTGTGAAAATTAAAGATTAATTTCTCGATAAATCGTTAAACTTTTTGATCGATTTAAAATGATTTTGATCGCTAATGAAAACACTCACCTCTCCGCCTGCTTCCGGGAGTCCCGTTGGCGATGTCCGTGACGTCACTGGACTCCTCCCGCCTTCCCCAAGTGGCTCTGTCGGCTAACGAAGGGAAGGGGGAGGAGTCCAGTGACATCGATGTCCGTGACGGCTAGCGAAGGGAAAGGGGGAGGAGTTCGGTGATTTCGATGTCTGTGACGTCTCCGGACTCCTCCCCCCTTCGTTAGCCGACTGAGCCACTCGGTGAGTTTGCCCAAGAAACTTTCAACACGAGCGCCAGCCAAGGCATTGGCCTATACACATTCAGCACAGCAATTAAGTAATAAAATGAACTAGGATCACACTAATCCAGCACGTTATTATTCTGAGTTGCCCCACACAAGCGGCGGCCATATTGAGTGGGGCACGTGAGATTAATAACGTGCTGGATTAGTGTGATCCAAGTTCATTTTATTACTTCATTGCTGTGCTGTATGTGTGTAGGCCAATGTAGTTGGATCTATATGTGCGTTATAATTGATCGTTTAAAAACAAAATTTCGATTAATCGAACACGAAAATTTTGATCATTACCAGCCCTAATTCTTATTGGTCTTGATTGAATTATATGAACACTGAAAAAATAATCTCATTTGATATGCAAGGATGCTGTGTGGAACAGGTGCTTGCAATCATAGATACTGAAACTTGATTTGTGAAACTTCTATTACTATAAAGATTCAACAGCTGTATATACTTTGCCAGCAGTTAAGGAAGTTGGCAACACCATTACACGCATGTTGTTCTTGTCTCATCTTATTCTGTTGCATTGCTGAATTGTTTGGTAATATAGAGAGTATATTTTTGTAACTTTAATAAATTGACAGTTTCCTTTTAAGTGTAATATTTTTAAAGTTAACCATGGCATTGTTTAAGATGCTGCTCAATGTCAAGCATGCAATTTTCAGCATTTAGCTAGTGACATCTGGACACACAAGTGATTGCAAAAGACATCTTTGAATGCTAGCTCTGAAAAAGAAAATGAAATAGGAAAATCAGTTGTTCCTCAGTTTCATACAGTATATGTAATGTATATAAAGTAAAAAATGCTTTGGTTTGTTTTAGATAGAATATTGCTGTATCTGCTTTGGAGATTCTCCTTTATTTTTGGTCCTGGTGACCATTGTTTCCATGTCATGGCAAATCCATCACTGGAAAAGAAAGTGAAGGGTAATATTCCAATGTGAAAACCTGCCGTGGTGACAAATGTCTTTCGAGATATCTTCTAGCTTTGGGGAGAGCTGGTGCCTAACTTTATGCTATAATCTGTTAGGAGCATTGGCTACCTGGTTTATTGCATTTGAGTAGTTCTGTTGTAAAGCCCATTATGGTACCACTACAAGTATCTATTTGTGATTGATCTAGGTACAAACAATTACAAAAAACAAGTGATACACCATTGAACGGTGCAACACATACAGTGTCAACTAAAATACAATCTATCAGAAATTATCTGTTAAAGGAGAACTATGAGATGAGTGATTTCCACTCACCTCATAGTTCTAGCCGACCTGTGACAATGAGACTGTCACAGGTCGGCTCAGTAGATCGGGAGGTGAGCAAACACATACCAGGTTCGCTCATCTCTCGATCCTGTCACGGCTCTCTGCCGTGACAGGGGGAGGGGCTGGATTCCCCTCTCCCCGCTCCGATCTGCCAGCGCTGACTGGCGGAACGGACGGGGGAGGGGGCGGGTACAGCTGGCTCTGCCTCTAGATAGGCAGAGCCAGCTGTCACTCACGCATCTACGTCGGGATCCGCTCCGGCTGCTGCGTCTCAGTATACCGCGAGCAGTAGCTCGCGGTATACTGAGCTTAGGGTAACGGGAGGACGCTAGTTTGTGTCTTCCCGTTACGCTAAGGAGAACTAGGGGGAAAAACGCTGACCCCATAGTTCTCCTTTTAAAGATAATTGAATCAATCTTTATTACGATTGGTTCCCAGATACACAGACAGATATTCTCTGAGTTGATCAAAAGCAATCAACAACATTCTGGCATGGTGGTACAACTTGCCAGAGTCTAAATTAACTAGGCAGCAGATGCTGCGGACACTGCTCATGTGCGGAAAGGCAGTTCCAGCAGACAATAGGGAGGTTGCCAGCTATTGGTTCATGGGGTAGTGTCAGTACTACCAGAGTTAGGTGTGGAAGTCAAGCCTCCAGAATACCTATGTTGTATAAGGTATACATGCAAGGCTTTTTCACACACACCAACTAGTGGGGAGATTGATGCCTTAGGTCTATCTATATTGAAGCTTTTAGGGCCTGTTCACATGAAATCAGGTGCGGATCTGCAGACGCGGTGCTACTGATGCAGTGCGTTTTGGCCGCGTTTTTGATGCGTTCCAGGTAAAAAAATTAAATATGTCAGTATGTTAGCTGCAGTGCGTTTTTGGTTAGTTTTGTGTTTCCGGTCCGTTTCCTGACCGTACAAAATGTGACATGCAGTATTTTTCTGTCGTAACCTGAACGGACTGCGCACGTGAGAACTGTAGCCCATAAAACACATAGGGATACATTGGGATGCATTTTTAGTGCAGGAGCGTACGGATCAGGTCAGCACAGAAAACGGGCGTCGTGTGAACAGGCCCTTTGGCTGGGCACACACCTTACAACCATCGCAAGACTTTTGTCTTGCGATGGTTGTAAGGTACTTAAAAAAACGTACGATCTGCCTATGTTGCATAGGCAGATCGTACTTGCGATGATCGCAAGCCACGCCCCCTGAGGGGCGGGCTTCCGATGACCGCAATGCCGAACGGGCAGTGTGCGCTTGCGCACACCGGCCCGTGCGGCTGTTATCGTACGGACATGCCACAAACCCGCCGAACATCGTACGATGCTCGGCGGGTTTTCAAACATGTCCGTAAGTTTAAAGTCGTGCGACCTTACAGTAGTAGAGGTCGCACGGCTTCCACACACCTTACGAACATCGTACGATCGCGGGATTTCCCGCGATTATCGTACGATAATCGTAAGGTGTGTGGGCACCCTTAGGCAGGAGAAGTCAGGTAATGCTTTTTTATATGTTGAAACCTATTATAGCACTTTGCCTTGATGATGGAACCTGCCTGGTTCCAAAATGTTGCATTAAAGGTGATCTCCATGCATGGGACAACTTTTCTCTAAATCTCCATGATCCCCTTTGCAGTACTTAAGAATAATGCGAAATCTTTTTATAATGAAATTAGTGTGCTGGCAACATAGATTTCCTCTCCAATAAAATGGACACACAACCTTTTATAGTTTCCCTATTATGATACTAAAATCTTTGCGTTTGTTTTCTTTAGGAGTGAGCGGAAGTATGTGGAAAGATACTGGAAAGAAGTACAAGTTGGTGACTTTATCCAGCTACGCTGCAATGAGATCATTCCTGCTGATGTACTGCTGCTCTCCTCCAGTGATCCAGATGGTCTCTGTCACATAGAAACTGCCAATTTGGATGGTGAAACCAATTTGAAACAAAGACAAGTAGTGAAGAAATTCTCTGAGCTGGTAAGCATAAACTGTTTAAGGCCCAGTTCACAAGACAAGAATTCCCATGTATTTCTATAACCCCCGTTTACACCAGAGCGTAGTATCGCATGTAGAAAAACGCCTGTCGCTGGATAAAGTAAATTAGCTTCTTTTTGGCAGATTACAGTGCGTTTCTCCCCATAGACTCAATAGGAAACTCTTGGAAACGCACAAACACTATTATTTTTGCGCACGCTTGCCTGTTTACAAAACTTAATGTGACTTAATGCATGCGCGTAAAACGCAGAGCAAGAAAAGTACATAGAAACTAGCGGAAAGGCTGTTGCCTAGGTGTGAATGCACCTCAGGACAGTAGGCTCAAATTTCAAAGTGAACACATACATGTACATTACAGGACACAGTAAAGTGATTCGGGTACACTGGGTTATGCTGCTGACTTTAGATAAAAGGACACCTGCAAAACAAAGCTGTTAGGATAGCTCAGTATTACCCCTCCCACTCTCAGCATGCTTATTGTTTTTGTTAGTGTCCTAGGAGAGCGGACATCTTTTAAGAGAAGAAAAACCCTTTCTATAAGGCTTCTTTTTCATCTATCACATTTTTTTTTTGTTGCGCTAGAGCCAAAAGGGGCTCACCTTGCAACTTTCTGGATCGGCTGATATTCAGCATTGTCACAGAAGCTGTACACAGAACCTGCTGAGAAAAGGCAGGGCCAGACAGTAATTTCTCTTATGGCACTGGACTCGCCTAGCTATGTATGTACAACGTGAGAGTTAAGGTACCCATACACTTTAAAAACCCTCGCAAGACTTTTGTCTTGCGAGGGTTGTAAAGTACTTTAAAACGTACGATCTGCCCATCTTGGACAGGCAGATCGGGCTTGCGATGACTGCAATGAGGGGCGGGCTTGCGATGACCTCAAACGGGCAGTGTGCGCGTGTGCACACCGGCCCGTTCGGCAGTTGTCAAACAAGCAGGCCACTAACTCGCCGAGAATCGTACAATTCCCGGCGGGTTTTCCAGCCTGCTTGTTCGACGGAAGACGTGCGACCGTACAGCAGAAACGGTCGCACGCCTTCCATACACTGCACGATTCTCGTACGATCGTGGGATTTCCCACGATTCTCGTGCAGTGTATGGGCACCTTTAGGCACAGATTTCTAGCTAGGATGGACGAATCTCCCACTGGGCTATTGTAGTCTGAGTCAGAATACCTGAACATTGACTACAGCTGAGAATTTTCCTTCCAGGTCCTTTTTGATGTTAGGATTAAAAGCTGTTAGCAGAAGGCTGCTGACATGACCACCCACTAAGCAAATTTAAGATGATTCATCAAGAACCATCTGAAGTTTGCTCCGTGTATGGCCAGCTTCAGAGTCAGAGGATGTCTATTGGCCGTTGTAATCATCTGTTCCCAGGACATTTTAGACAATTGGGTCCAGAAAGTTGTATCCAGAGGCTAAAAGCTTCAATTTCGGTCTCTGCCTCCACCCCACTTAGTCTTGTCAAATTTGCCAGCGTCCTTGCAGAGATTGGTGAACCTCCGCTGCTCTGGTACAGCTCATCTCGCAGAGGGTCTTAGACACTTTCCCGGGAAAAAGAAAGGTTCCATGGTTTTTATTCAAACCTATTTTCCTGTCCCCTTTTTCCTGGCATATCAACACTACCTGCACTTTGCTCTGAGCACACAACATTACCAGTTTGTTGCCTTCCCCTTTGGCCCCTCCACTGCACCTTGGGTCTTCATCAAGGTACTAGCCCCTGTTCTTGCTCTGCTTCATTCTGCACATCTCCATAGAAGAATATCTGGACAACCTTCACTTTAAGAAATGGACAGTTCCCGCTGTATCAGCCAATGTCCCAAAGAAAATTCAAAATTTTAGACTTGTCTTAAAAAACAAGAGGTAAGGTGAAATCTTCCACTGGGGACACCTGTTTCAGTTGTCTAAGGGCGGTCCCAGTGATGCACAGAAAACTAAAAAAAAAAAAAACACATGCAGACTAGATTACTCATTTACAGATGCATGTGTTCAATTATTTAATAGCATAAATAGCACCTTGATGGTCTAAACTCAGGAATTAAAAAATGCATTCAAGTACCTTAACTATTAACAAATGTGTTTTAAATTGGCCACCCTCATGAAGGACAGTGTGAGCACAAATTGATAGATGATTTGAGGCTCTACAGCTGAGTGATAAACAAATAAGGTACAGTATTGTTAATAGTTAAGGTACTTGAATGCATATTTAAGATGTAACTTCTGAGTTTAGTGTCACTTTAAATAATGGAACATGGCTTTACAAATCCCAGGCACCAGGTCGCCATGTCGACTAGAAATTGTATCCTGGTGCCTGGGCTTTTATCATCCCGTTCACTGTCCCCAGCCACCTCCTCCAAATCAGCTCTGCTCCTCCTGTTCTCCTACCCACTGGGTTCCCGCTGCATGCTGCAGTTTGTGTCCCCTTCGATCCCCGCTGCTCTTCCCGTCTGTATCAGCAGAGGCAGCGGGGATTGAAGAGGACAAAGACCGGTGCCCAGAAGGTAGAAAAAAACACTGACAGCCGATGGCCTGCTGTGTTTTCATTCATATGCCTCAGCAGGCAGCTGTCATTCCCCAGCTAAAACTATTGAGGTAAAAAGGTGACACTAGCGGTCTAATGGAACCGGTCTTAAAGAGAACCTGTCATTTCCAATGTGCTATCACATAGGGGGCTTGTGATCCCCCACATGTGATGTCAATGAAGTTGTGTGAAAAAAGCAAAGTAAAATAAAAAAAAATAAAAAAATGTAAAGGCCCCCCGTGACTACGAACATACTATTGGAAACACAACTCAAGTGCAACTACGTACGAAAACTACGACTGTGCTACACGTCAGGTATCGCCGTGTGTGCCAAATTAAAACTGTAATTTAAAATTACAACTGTTGTTGAAAATAAAGATTTAAACTTTTAGTTTAAAAAAAGAAAAACTGTCTTCTAATTTTTTTAGCTGCCTCCTAGTTTCAAAGCAAGTTTGTCAAGACATGCACCTGTATATGTGTAATCTAGTCTGGATGTTTTCTGTTAACAGTTTTTACTTGCTAATGGTATTCTGCATGTATTAATGTGTATATTGCATAAAATTACCTTAAGAGCACTCAGACTTGCTAGGTGAAATGGAAAACAGCAGTGCTTCCAGCATGCATTTTTAGTCATTATGTGCCTTTTACAATTTCTGCTCTGTATATTGTTTCTGTACCCCTTAGCCAGCCTCATGTGAATTCTCCTGAGCTCTTAAGGTACTTTTTTCTGCAAATTGTGGCTGCTATTTAAATTACAGCTGTGGCCCGACAGATTATCTGTCTGAACATCACCTTTTCAGACCTCCTACCTCTTTCTATATTTTAAAGTTTACAATTGACATTAATGCTTTTAAAGCTTATCTAAACCCAAAAACAACAATTGTATATCTTTCGGCTTATCAGTACTTAGATGAGCTGGCTGCGTTAGTTTTCTATATTATGCTTTTATCTTTTCCTTATATTTTAACCTGGTAATCCTCTGAGTAACGACCTTCCTGTTCTTTGGGGGGCTAGACTCACTCCTCCACTGTATCTATGGCGAGAGCCATGGTTGTCACCCAAGCTTGACTGCAATCTTGACACATATATCTGCGTTTTGTTGATCTTCATCATATGGAGGGTGGTGTGATTTGTTGTTTATAGAACAAGATTTGTTTTTAAGTTCAGATACTTTAACTTCCAGAACTTATGCAAGATTGGGCAGCTAACTAATATTGGTAGGGACACTAAAAGACACCCTGGCCGAGATTCACCAGGAGGACATAGAATCACTTTGATTGTGTTCCTTCTAGTAATCTGGTGCCGGGGGTGTTTGTGTCTAAGAACGTGATAGAGGTCAGATCATGGATCCCTGATGTCTCCATAAAGAGCACCTGTTACCTGCCCAATGCTCTCACATGGGGGGATTTTTCCCTCCATGTGATCGCAATAAAGTTACATTTTAAAAAAGTGTTTAAAACATGAAACTATAGTAATATAAATACAAATGTAAAAGCCCCACTGATCTCCTGCGCATTACTAGACCGTAAACATCCACTTAGGACATTCATATGAAAATGTAAATGATTTTTGCAAAACACAAACTGGGTATTGGCACGCACGCTGCAGTAAGAGGAATAATTCTAGGGTCAGTTAACTCTAAACTGATGAGCTGTAAAGACTTTTTATTTATTTTTTATAAAAGATAACTTGGAATGATATTAAGTTTGTAAGCACAAAAATTCATCTTAGTAAATTTTTAGGGCTGCAACCAACTAATCGATTAATCGATAATGAGCATAGTTGTCAACTATGCTCATTATTGGTTAGTTGATTGTGTCCCCTAGCTGTCTCCTCCATGCTGGGAGGAGGGCATAGCAAGCAGTGGGTAGGTGCAATAGCCAGCCTGCTATTGGTTATTGCAGGTTAAAATGGCCAATAGCAGGCTGGCTATTGCACCAACCGATTACCTGCTGTATTTACAATGAGCTGCTATCTGTGGAATCTTGCCATTGGCAGCTGTCATCTGGCAGAAGCTAAACAAGCACAATGTGATTACTATACAATTATTTGAAAAATATATAAAATGTGGGAAAAAAGTAATTTTCGGTTTTTGGCTGGACAAATTCTGCTGCGGGAGGTGCGTTGCAGTGCCATTTATTTCAATGGCATCCCGAGCGCACCTCCCACCCACAGTGTGATCGCCCACACTGGAACGCACAATACCAACATGCAGTGCAGTGCGATTGCAAAACATTGTGCATGCAGTTTTATTCTGAAGTAAACTTTGTAACACTGCATTTGTGCATTTCATTTTAAATTAAGAATGGTTTTTTTTTATTTTTTTACATTTGATTAATTGAAAAAATAACCAGCCAACTAATCAATTTATGAAAATAATCATTCGTTGCAGCCCCAAATAGTTTTGAGAAATGTTTACAAAAATATTTTGTGACAAAAAAAAAATTGCAACGACC